TGTTTCCTTATTAATCGGATGCCCTCCTTCATTCTTCATGGTCGGTCTCCCTTCTCTATTTTGTTCCCCCACCTTGTCTCCCTTTCCATTAACACCCCGCATTTTTGGCTGTGTGTGATTTGTTCACAATCTGAGTCCTGGGATAGACAAGCTGGATGCACGCTCTATTAAGTGTCTTTCTTGGATACTCTCGGACTCAAAAAGGGTACAAGTGTTACAACCCCATTACTCGGTAGTGCTATGTCTATCCTGATGTCACCTTTTTTGAGTTTGTCCCCTTCTTCTCGGAACCTGAAGCATTGGTGTCTCCACCTTTGCTTCCTCTTCCTCTTCCAGTCAGTGATCCCGTTTCGGGTGTTCCAGTTGGGGTTGACCCTTCACCTCCTCCAGTGCAGATCCTTACTGAACGACCACCGATCTGGCACGTGTATACTCATTGACAGACACCGGCTTCTCCTCTAGCTTCTACCTTGTCTGCGGATCCTGTTGTTGCTCCTATCCCAGAACCTTTAGAACTTGATCTTCCCATTGCTTTACGCAAAGGTAAACGTAGTTGTACCCTCCATCCCATTTCCAATTTTGTTTCGGTCTCTTTCCTTTCTGCTTCACATCGCCAGTTTGTTTCACTGTTCTCATCTATTTCTATACCTAAGAATGTCCAAGAGGCTCTTAGCTCACCTGGGTGGCGGCAGGCAATGGAGGAGGAACTCTCTGCCCTTTAGCATACTCAAGCGTGGGAGCTCACTACTCTTCCTCCTGGTAAGCATGTTGTGGGTTGTAAATGGGTGTATACTGTTAAATATTTGCTGGATGGTAGTGTGGAGCGTTTGAAGGCCAAACTTGTTGCTAAAGGTTATTCGCAGTTGTATGGGGTGGACTATATGGAGACCTTCTCTCCAGTGGCTAAGATTGACTTTGTCCTTGTCTTAATCTCCCTGACAATTATGTATGATTGGCCCTTGTTTCAACTTGACATTAAAAATGCCTTCCTTCATGGTGACCTTATGGAGGAGGTATATATGGAGCAACCACCTGGGTTTRTTGCTCAGGGGGAGGATGGTAAGGTGTGCAGATTGAAAAAGGCAATTTATGGGTTGAAACAATCCCCTCGTGCTTGGTTTGGGAAGTTTAGTGAAGTGGTGAAGAATTTTGGAATAAAACAATGCCAGGTTGACCACTCGGTGTTCAACTATGATTCAGAAGCCGGAAAGATTAGTAGTCTATGTGGATGATATTGCCATAACTGGTAGTGAC